GTTAGTTCAGTATCCATGTATCCATGACAGACCAGTATTCACGGATATATTTCATGTTATATGTATTATGATGCCCCGTGAGGCTTGTGTTATGCTCTGGTAGCTAGCGGGTGTTTTGGAGAAACGTTGAAGGTGACTAACATTTTCATTTAGACCTTATATATAATCTTCACGTCTTTCAGTATTAGTCAGTTCAGTAGTCATTCAATTCAGTATCTCAGTAATAATGTATTCATTCAATTTAGTATCCATATGTTCATGAAAGTTCAATGTTCACGTGTTTCCATCAGTCCCGCTTAGGGTCCAGAGTCTTCCGTAGTTACAGCCAAGACAATTATTTGAGGACGAATGATCCCAAGGGGGAGATAATATAACACTTCATAAATTCGGATTAGGCGTGGTAGTGTTAATGTGATATTTTAGGCATGTGAAGTCCTATCGAGATGAGTATGGGTGAAAATAGTTGCTTTGGAATCAAGATGGAGAGTAAGGTGCATAAGCTTCAATAAAATCGACTAAATTTATGGAAGGTCTGTCTTCCAGTTATGTGACAATCTGTTAAGAATTTGAGAAAACTAAAACATTAAAGTTGTAGGCCTTTGAAATACCTTTCCATTGATATATTGTGTATCCCGAGGAGATATCTGTTCAAGAAGTTATGTGCATTTTACTAGACAATGCGCAGTCTGCGCGCTCGATTGCGCGCCCAGATGTCCCGTGCGTGGCAGCGCACTTGTAGCAGTACCACTGCCCTTGCTGCGCGTTCAGGTGCGCGGTTGGGCCTTCAGCTACATGGACGCGCACTCAGAGGGTCGTTTCAAAAGCCCTACATCATACCCAACACCCTAAAACACGAAATTTGCTTTAAAAAGGGAAGCTCTCAAAAACCTAACTTCCTCCAAGATCCCTTTATCATCCAAGGTAAGTTCTAATGATGATTCTAAGTTAATTTCAATTCTCCAACACCTTATTAATATGGGTAAACCCTTCAAATCATTAGATATTCGATTGGACATAGCATGCTATCGTTAACCCTATAAATCTTCATAACTTCTTTATTTATTTTTTTCTTATATAGTGTGATCTTAGAAGTAACTATATTCTAAAAAGAGGTTCAAATTTTAAAATCTAGATAAATAAGGTGACTTTTAAATGAAGTTAAATATTTATAGAATCAGAAATTCTAGAAATATTTAACTTTAATAATTAATAGTGTGAACACTGGTAAGAGGTTGTTTGGTAGTTCAAGTATTACTTAGAGTCCAAAGATGATCGGTGGTTTAAATGAGAAATTAAAATTAGACACTAATAATATTTAGTTACTCCCATTTGGAAAGTAATCGTAATTCCATTATCTATCATATTCATTTGAAGACCAGTCTGATTAAATTCCTAGAGTTGTCACGATGATTGTATGTTGACATAATTTAAACTCATGACATAAAGCATAAGAATTAATGTTCTTACCATACTTTCATTTGTATCATTTTCTTTTTCTTAGAATCTTTTGGTTACAACAATAATATGCATATCTTTGTTATCAAAATGACATGCAAAAATCTCTTTCATTTAAAAAGTGGTCCCGCTTAAAGAATTAGTAAGTCATTAACACTAATGAGTAATATAAATATCCTAAGTCTTGTTTCGTCAAAATCAAGTTTTTTGATCAAAATCTCCGTTACTGAAGAAGATTTAGTGATCACACAAAGGTTGAAAGATTATTAGATCAACTTTATTTTTCTTTCAACTTTAACTCTTAATCAATGGCATATGGGAGTCAAGGTCCTAAGCCAAAGTACGGACTTAAAGAGTAAGTTTCCATTTTTCTTTATAGTTCTTCTTTCATTTTCCTTCATTTGTGCTATTTATCCTAAATTTTATTGGGCTCACAATCTTTTTTCTTTTTTTGTTTTCTTAATTAGCTATAGGAGAGACAATGGTACACTTCGTCTTCATAATGCACAAATCTTCTATCAAAATGAGCTACTACGTGAAAGGCTCAATCTTGTAGTTTGCCCTCATTGTAGTCCCAAGTTATATGAAGAAATCATAGAGAAAAAAAATTTCACTAGCAAAAATGCGCAAGGAGATTGCCGAAATGGAGAAATGGGTAAATTTTTATTAGAATATTTTTCTACATTGAATTTTAGTGATTATAATAAATTAAAATTGTATGTTATATAGCTATAATTGATTTTCAAGTCTCTTTTTGCAGATCGAGGTCTGGTCAGATATCATCAATTATCATTTGAAGAAAAACAACGCTAAAGAAAATGTTTTCCCCTAGAATCTTTTTGGGAATACATGTCATATGCTCATAGTTTTATGGAGAAGGAAAATATTATATTTTATTGCAATAATTCTAAAGTATAATGATTGTAACTCCGTGAAGAATAAGTTATTATACTTTTATGAGTTACTCAATTATAGAAAAAAAAATTATGATGACTTGGTACTATGGTTATTATTATTATTGTCTGCCCTCTTATCTCTTGTTAATCTAATTATTTGCTTTCATAATGGTATTTATGTTTGCTATTGTTGCCTTTTCTAAAGTTTGATTGGTTCGACGAAAAGAAGCATTTGTTCTGTTATCCCCAGTATATATATATAACTTAAACATAACTCAAAATTATTATTTTTGAAATGATAGTATTCCGGCTGGTTTAAACGTACGTCGGTACTCATCCATTTAATATATGATCCTTCTTACCCGTACACATGCGGGCAATGTTGTTTAGGCACATAAAATATATTCAATTAATAATGCCTTTGCTAGAATTCAAACTTTGCTTTTACAAGTTAGACCTCCAACTCTTGGTGACCAAAGAGAGGGGCTATTCTTCTTCCATGGAGACAAAAATCATTTGTTTTACTCACTGAACTCTTCGTTCGGGGGCCTTTATCAACATGATACGACAACCTTAATCTTTGGCGGGTCACATTACTTGACTTAAAAAAGGTGGACCCGGGTTTCGCTAGTCTCACTCGCTTGCTTGCTGGAAAAATTGGGATTGGATTGATAGAGCACATGTCATTTGCTCTGTTTACCCTCAAAATCGGATAACAATTAAATTTGTTAGTGGTTTAAAGGATATGCAGATTAACTTGATACTGAACGATAAATTAGATTGCAATTGAAATAAATAACGATAAATTAACTGCAGACCACACGGATTGGGTAATTTCGGCCTAGGAAAGCTAACCACCCTTGAGTCGAATGTACTTTGATTGACACCAAGATAACAAAGAATTTAGAGGATAACGGTAATGTATTGCTTATGAGTGTATGTTACAATATCTTTCATGAATTGTGAGACCCCCTTTATATATTAGGGGAACCTACTTTTAAGGTATTATTCTATTATTCCATAAAAGGTAAAAAGGTCCTTGATTTGTTGACTGTTGGTCCCTTTTTTGGTATGTTCCGTGATTTTCGCCGTAATGCCCGGTTAGTTACGGAAATTTCGGACCCATGTCGGATAAGCTGGCAATATATTCCTTGAGACTGTTATGACCGGGACCGGTTATGACCTCGATAAACTCGAAGGCAAGTATGGTGGTTCCGATGGCTAATTCGGTAAGGCAGGAACCGATCTTCGAGATTTTATCACCATCTCTCGATCCCAAATTGTCGTGTGGGATGCTCGGTCAAATCCTAAATTCGATTTTACCCGTATACATGCTCGTTAGCAATCTAGTTTAAGGGTGTTCGTCGGTCGGTACGGTACGGTATTTAGATATTTCGGTTCGGTATTTTTGGTATTCGGTATCATAAAATGCTATACCAATACCGTACCTAACTAAATTCGGTATGGTTCGATTTTTTGCCTTTCGGTTTCGATTTATTCGGTACGGTAACTTCGGTTTATTCGGTTCTAAAGCAGCTTCTGAACGTTATATTTAGGGGAGAATAACACCTTAACTAGCCATTAAAATTATAATTAGCCAGCAAAATCAATCTTATGAATGCAACAATAACAACAACAACAACAACAACAACAACTCAGTATAATCCCACTAGTGGGGTCTGGGGAGGGTAGTGTGTACGCAGACCTTACCCCTACCATGAGGTAGAGAGGCTGTTTCCAATAGAAACTCAGCATCCTTCCCTCCAAGAACTCCACATCTTGCTCTTGGGGTGACTCGAACTCACAACCTCTTTGTTGGAAGTGGAGGTTGCTTACCATCAGAGCAACCCCTCTTGTTAAATATGAATGCAACAACACTACACATCACATATGAGACTTCTATAAACAAGAGCATAAGATTAGAATAATGTTTACGAACTTCATCAACTTGTAAGTATGTCTGGTCTAAAGCTCTAACTTGCATCTCCACAATATACCAGACACTAGTAAGCTTCTTAAATGTGACCAAAATAAGTTTTTCACAAGTGTTGTTTACAGAAATCATTCAGGTAACATCCATTAACCACATAGACAAAAATAGGTTGTGCACAGGCTTTAACTAAAGAACATGGAACTAGAAACATTCTCCTTAAGCTCTTTGATAACTGCGGGCTGCAAGGATGACAGGATATTTAAAATTAATCCAATATATATTTCGGTACGGTATCGATATTTCGGTATTCCTAATACCAATTTTTTATAAAATGTAAATCAAATACCATACCAAATATCAAATACCAAAATACCAAATACCAAAAAATTCGATTTCGGTATGGTAATTCGGTATTTACCAAATTATGCACCGCCCTAATCCAGTTCAAAGCTAGTATCACGATAGGACAACTTCTCAGTTCATTCCATCCTCTCAGTCAAGCCAGATGCAAATGAAATAGTTGCTCCCACTCCGACAAGATTATTCTCCTTTTATCCCATTTTGTGTGACACAAATTGATTAGAAACGAAATTCAAAATATTTGTTTGACTAATATGTTTACATATTGCCTAAATTTCATTTTATGCCGGTAATAGGAAGTTTAAAATTTAAAACTAAACTAAATGTGTAATTATTTTAAAAATACACATAAAATAGAACAAAAGAAGTAAATGGCAGCGAAGAAATATAGAAGCGATAGTTGGTGTGAAAGAAAAACATGGTACTGATGCGCTAAAGGGAATAAGTTTACTTTTTATTTCCAGCTATGTCACAGCCACAAGAATGCTCATGTGAGATTTTTGCCATGCTTAATTTGGTGCAAGAGAACCATCCTCTTCCTCCATCTTACTTGAGGCTCTTACCTACATCAATTACAAAACGGTATTTGACATCCTTCTTAATTAACCTTTCGAGTGCCTCATTGGCATACTGAATTGGGACTATCTCAATTTCTGGATAAATTTTGTTGGAAGCACAGAAATCCAGCATTTCTTGTATCTGCTTCGTTCCACCAGTTACACTCCCAACAATGCTCTTCATACCTGTCACACATGAGTCATTTTAGCTGAGGACAAAATATCGAACACAGACTTCAAATTGTGAGCAGGTTTAGAAGATAAATACCGAGAACTAGGTTTCCCGGAGTAAATTTCACTTCAGTTGGGAAGCCAACCAGAACAAGAATGCCAGCAGTCTTTAGCAGCGACAAGTATGGATCAAATGGAATATCACCAGAAGCAGTGTTAATCATGAAGTCAAACGACTTACCCAGCGCCTGTAACAATGTAAAAGATCAATCACAGCAATAGCAGTTTATAGCATTTCCTGCGATATATTTTTTTGATGAATCATTTTCTGCAATATTTTTATCCGTAGATAAGTTCAGACCACAAGCTTATGACCATACCATCATCTGTTGTTCGTCCGACGAGACCACAAAATTGTCAGCTCCAAGAAGCTTCAGCGCTTCTTCTCTCTTAGATATACTTGTACTGAATACTGTTACATTCAATCCAAAAGCCTTTCCAAACTTCACTGCTAAGTGACCTAGACCACCTAATCCAATCACACCAAGAGATTTTCCAGGTTGATTCATGTTATGTCTCATCATCGGAGTATAGACAGTAACTCCAGCACATAGTAAAGGTGCTGCAGATGCAAGCGGGTAATTTTCAGGTATTCTAAAGCAGTACCTGTACATACAAGCAGGCATTTATCAGTAAATTATACAATGATTGTATTTGATAGACCATTTGGTCCATGTAAAATTAAAGATTGGGGGACTTAGGGTGGGGTGAGAACGATACATAATTTGTTAGAGAGTCAGATAAATTAACCTTTCATGAACAACAATGTAACTGGAGTATCCCCCTTTAGTAACTGTACCATCCACGTCTATACCATCAAAAGTGTATACTGCTCCTTTTGAGCAATGAACCTCTAATCCATCATTACAATATTCACATTCCCTGCATGAATTAACGTATGTTCCAACACCAACATGGTCGCCAACTTTAAAGTGCTTAACATTGGTGCCAACATCTCTCACAGTTCCCACAATTTCATGTCTGACAATCATGAAAATAATTAATAACACAATATACATATAAAGACAATAACTAAATGCCAATCTAAGCGGAAAATGTCACAATATAAGTAAATGAGAAAAAAATGTATCATGGCAACGCATGATTTCTGAAGGATGATAGGAAGGATGGGCAACAGATGAATGATGAGGCAAGGTCAATCACTGGAAAAAATAGCACTCCAGGCAGTGGAAAGCAGCAGCAAAAGTCGAAGGAAATAGATGCTCGACTACTGGTGGTATTGCTACTTTTGAGATGAATGACGTCTCAAAAGATATTGTTACTGGTGGTGATCGCATTGTAGAGGCAATTCATACACCTGCTGCAACCACACCAACTCTGCATATTTCCAATCCGGAAGTAGCTAAAATTATAAAGGAATCACAGCATGCCATGATGTTGAATTCCAATCCAACGATCAAGCCTCTCATGGTTACTCTAAACACATCGGAGCAGGATGTTCCTTCACAGATAATGGAGTCGTTCGGAGAGCAAGAGGGTGACTCGGAGCAGCAATTGATATCAACTGGAAATAACCAACAAGTACAAAAAGGTATGGCCTCAATTTCTCAAGCAAATTCCACAAATAAAGTCACTGTTTCTAAGGAGCAACATGCTGTGATGAGTGAATTTTTGAGTACTCGTAAAACCTGGGCTGACCAATGTGAAGAGGATGAAGATGATGATTTCGAGAATATCCAGGATGATAGTACTGATGAGGAAGGTCAGTTTTCAGCAAGTTCTAAATCAAAAGATGAGGCAGCAAAGGCGCAAAATCAGCAGGTTTCTAATTCTACAGATAGTGTACCAAGGAGGAGAGGACTAAGCCCAAACGCACCTGTTTTTAGTCCATCCGGGCAGCAGCAAATTGCAGCAGTTGGCTTAAAAGATAGTCCTAATGCTAAGGCTCTATCTACTGGAAACATGGCGAACACAAGCTCAACCATTGCAAGGTACAATTTGACTCCTATAAATATACTTCAAGCTCTTGTTTCTCATGACATGGAGACTTTAAAAGCTCTGGATAATCCGGGCAAGGCAGTAGCTACTACTTCCAAGCCAGTTGGTATTGTGGCCAAGATTCATGAACCAGGTGCTTTAGTGCATGGATTTAATCCTACTGAAGTTTTTGGTGCGGATATGGGGCATGACTTATATGAAAAAGGGGAAGAGGAAGAACTCCTAGATGCAAGCTTTGCCAATGTAGCTAGGGAAGGAGATCTCTCACCTAGACATCTTAGAAGTGGATCCAACAAAAGCAAGAAGAAGGCACATGAGAAGCAACATAGTTGGGATGGCAAGGTCACACAAGAAGTTGTCATTAGGCAACTTCCAATGAGAGTTGCAAAGCAAAAGGCGGCTTCCCCTACCACCTCCACAAGGTCAATTAGATCAAAGAAAAAATATGAAGTTTGAAGAATCGTTGAAGATAGTTGAAAAAGAAGTCAAGGAGCTACAAGTTGAAGAGTTCACAAGGTTAAAGAAAGAGGGGCAAGACTCTAATTTTTACCTTGTCTTATTCTATCATTTTGTAAGTATTATCATATGTAATATCATCACAGAGTATGTTATAAACTTTGTGATGATCATAGAATACTTAGTCCTCTCTAATTCTTATTTTTTATATGCTTGCTAGTAGATGAGGTTGTTCATGCCTCAATAGGAATTGTAAGGTAAGGTCTAGCTCAGTAAGTGTTTGCTATTTGTCCAATGCCTTTGGGAATAATCCAAACGGTTATGAGATCATTCACCCTCATGAGACTTTGCCGGCAGCCACATCATGAGGCTTCATGAGGCTGCCATCATAAGACAATGGAGGCGCACATGGGTGATTATATAGCCAAGGCAATAGAGACAACACTACTGTAGCTTTTGTCCCCCTTACTTGTACTCTTCCTTTGTGATTTTTCTTTTTCATTATTAATAAAATAGCTACTAGGCAGCCCGCCTCGTAGTATAATTTGCCTTAAAAAAAAGAAAAAAAAGGATTTCTGAAATCAAGCTTCCCACCCTGGCACTAGAGGATATTTTGAATGTCCAAGTTTATTCCTGGTCCAGACAATATCAGCGAAACATATTCCACAAAATGCAATATCTAGCAGAACATCATCACTGCCAACTGCCCTGCGGCAAGTAAAAGAAAATTTTAGCAGAAGATAAATAGCACTGCTACTTAAAAAACTCGAGAAGTAGATCAAATCAACAGTTCAACCATTTAAAGTTAGTCAAAGATCATGTATTTCCAAAAGAAATGGAACAGCCCTTGTCAAATGATGAAAACAGACCAAGAAGCAAAGAAAATAATACATCAGGAAAGGCCACTCAGCCATTGCAAGCTAAAATGTACCTCCGGCTGAATTTGTAAGGTGAAAGAAATCCAGATGGATCTCGGGCTGCCCAACCAAGGCAATTCTCCGCTGCACTTGCAGAAGTCATTTCAACTATTCTGCACTAAGAATACAACACAGAAATAAGATCTAATAGCAGAGAAGCCTAGCATTGTGTATTTGCGAAGTTTGCTTTGCACGTAATCTTCTACCACATGTTGAATGACTTTATAGCTATTCTATGACCAAATTGAATTATTTTGGAAGAAATGAACACATACTCCCCCATTCCAAATCGATCATTAGTAGTCAATTTGACCAACTTTCAGAGTTAAAACTCAGATTTAGGTAAACTTATTTTGTTGAAAATATACAATTTACAAATTTAAAAAGAATAGAACAGAAGAGAACTATGAGGTAAACTTTTTCATTTTGAAAATCATAAAAGGATATAAGAAAATCTTGGCCAAAATTAACTTGTTTGACTCTAGACCAACAATAGGAAATCATTTTGGTACATGTATTAGTTATTACTATGGAGATAAAATTTAGAGGTGAAATATGAGTTGCTCTCTCATGTCCTTCCCGGAACAAAAAATTTGTTCTGATTGACTTATGACTATCAAATATTAAAAAACAAAATATAAACACAACAATAGCATCAATACAAGCAAGAGTATGATAATGAAATGGCATTGGAGATACAACATGGAAAGCCGTGGGCTATGGAAAGCTGTAATACAAGCAACGTATGGGGTGACAAACAACTGGTGTACTAGACACGGTAGAGCTCCTCATGGTTCAGGTTCCTGGCAACACATCTCAAAGCTATGGGGTGAGTTCCAGCTTAATCATCACTCAAGCTGGGGAATAGAGCTCATATTTCTTTCCGGAAGTGGTTAGAGCAGAGATTCTGAAAGATGAATACCCAACTCTTTTTCTACTTGCTAGTGATCAGGAGTCCACTATTTCCTCTGGCAAGACAAATCTTGGACCCCACAGTTCAGAAGGGGTATCCAGGATCGGGAGATGAATGACCTGCTGGGATCACTTACAAAATTATCAGGTGTAAATGTCAACTCCTGGGTGCAGGACAGGTTGGAAGGGGAAGAATCAAAAGATAGAACATATACTGTCAAAAGGGGATATGACAATCTGTGTTCTAACAATTAACTGATTGACAAATGGCCATGGAAGCTTATATGGGAAACCAACCTACCTCCAAAGGTAGTTGGTTTTATCTGGACAACCTTGTATGAAGCATGTCTTACTCAAGACGATCTCAACAAAATATGCTATATGTGCCAGATGGAGTCTGAGAGTGTTAGGCATCTGTTTATGCACTGTGTAGTAGCAGCTGACATTTGGAATACGTTCTTATCAACTTTGTACTTGCCTGGGTCATGCCAAACAACATTAAAGATGCTTATGAGAGCTGGTCATGGAGAGTTCGGAAACCCATCAAAAAAAAACTTGGTCTATAGTGCCTGGTTCTACTTTTTGGTGCATTTGGAAGAAAGGAATAGTAGGTGTTTTTTATGGGATTTTAACTCCTAATCACTCTCAAAGCCAATTGTTTAATTAACTTATTTAGTTGGTTCAATCAAGCTCATGTAACTAGTATTGAACTTTTTTTGGATTGTGTCTGCGCTTTAGTTGTTCAGTAAGTTTTTGTACATGAGCAGACATCTTCTTTTGTTGTAACTTTTGCTATGCATCTTCTTGATGCCATTTAATGAAATTCACTTCATAAAAAAAATAGCATAAAAAATTTGGAGACATACAACAGATCCTTAACTATTGTTCAAGTTGAGAATACAATAGAAAGAAAAACTTTTTGGTACATCAGACCAAGAAAAATCTAGAAACAGTTGATTCCAAATATAGATTTTAATCATAAAAATTGAAAGGAATATGCCAAAGCGGGAGGAGCAGATAAATACTGAAACTGTAGCATACAAATTCATCATTCATAAAACAACCATGAAATTCATAATGAGAAGAGAATAAACCTGGAAGGGAGGAACAATGGGGAAAAGAATGGAGCTAACCAACGAGTCCGAATAAAAGTTACTGCGAAATGGAAAATGGAAAAGTTACACCCTTTATAGTACGTCACTCGGGTTAATCGGGCCTCATATTTACGGGTTCGGATCCATCCAGTGAAAGTTCCCTCTAGTTCCTCTAGTGATGCACTCGATGTGCGACACGTGTCCTACCAAAATGACGGATCAGATCTGTTCTCTAAAGATATTCTTTGACCATGGTCTAAAGCCTTATTTTTCCTTAATTAGTACTATTAATTTTCCTCTCCGATGATGAGAGTGTTTTCATTATCAGTTAAATTGTCCATGATAGCTACTTATAAGTTTGGAAATATTTTGTGTGCTCGGATTTATGCTATGTACACTGACAGTATATTATATAATTTAATTTGTTATAGCATATCACTTATCGTTATTAAAGAGAGTTATCTGTGGTTACCTTTTAAATGATCAAATTGTGTAAATATTTTATATGGTAATTATTTTTTTATACCTATGGTGTTCGGGCCAACTTGCGCACTTCAACTAATTCGACGGGATACATATTATCTCCCACGAGAAATAGGTACCAACAGGGGAGAAGCTATGTGTGGCCAAGGGTGGTCAACGAAATCTTTCGCCGAAAAATATAAAATATTACTTGTTAAGTTGTTATTGATCAAAAAATATACTTTGAACACCCTTGCATGACTCACTAACAAATAATATTCAAATTTTGTACGCTCTTATTGAATTTTTTAATTTCGCCACTGATACCAGGTAGCTCTATCCATCGTATTTGTATAAAGACGCATAAATTCTAAACAAACAAAATCCAAGACAATTAAAAACCATGTCACCAACGAGTAAGTCCCTTTGGTATTCCAATAATATTATACTATAATCTTGCATGATCATGATTCATATATGATGATTTCTAGAGGCAAGGTGACAACAACTGGGATGACATAATACACAGATTACACGCATAATTTACTAATCCACATAAGATTAATTAAGCTTATAAGATACATAATGCTTATACATCACATGAGAGAACAAGAATAGACATTATCATCATTAAACAAGTTGCTAACTTTGTCATCTCCTCGTTGACTAACAGGTAAATTGCCATGTTTTTCAGTAGCATTGTAGCCATGCCTCCAGTAATTGTAGCTCTCTTTGTACTCTATCGTCGTGTCTTTGAAATAGTTATTTGAGGATGTGAAATATAATGGTGGATTAGGATATGGCCAGAATTCTGCCCTCTTTCCTGTCCTTCTCACTGCCTTTAGCACCTTTTTCCGATCAATGTATCCCACCACTGTTACCTTCTCCATCTCTACGTCCACCTCCACTGAGTCTATCCCTATCGTTTGTACGATCACATTACTTATTAGATAATAACAAATAAATCTTTTGATAATTATTAATTAGTCTTTGATAAAAATAGTATCTATCCTACGTACTACTATTGATAATGTAATAAAAATCCTTACGCTTCCCATATATACTTAAATCTTACGAAAAATATTGAAAAATATATGACACAATTTTGTCAGAAGATTGTGACGAAATTTCATCAATTCGGACGAAGTGTGTGTGACAAAAATACAGATTTGTAGCATGTTTGCCGGAGCTTCTAAAAGTGCTTTTCAAAAAAGTATTTTTGGTTAGAAGCAACTTGTGTATGACTAATTAATTTGAAAAACACTTTTGAGCAGTAATCAATGTTTGCTCAAGTTTTTAGAAATTGCTTTTAAGTGTATTTTTTTTCAAAAATACTATTTAAAAAAAGTACTTTTGGGGAGAAAATACATTTTTATGCTTCTCAAAGATTGTTTTTGCTTATATTCTTTCCTTCTAAAAGTTTGGCCAAACACCTTAATTTTGGAGAAAAAGAGGATTCTGGAAAAACAAAAAAAAAGAAGTATTTTTGGCAAAAAAAAAAAAAAAAAAAAAAGGGTCAAACAAACTATTAGTTCCGTCTAGTAGGTTTGTAACAAAAATGAGGGTCATCACAAGTCCGTCAAAAATTTGTGACGGACATATGGATCATAAATTCTTTCAATTACAATTTTTTTTTTCTCTCAAGATAAATTTCAATGATATATAGCAACAATGGCAATATATAATTAAGCTGGTATATATCGATTTATGCACCTCTAAGCTTGAGCATAGCGTCTTTGACAACTCTCTCGCAACCTGGGCAACACATCCTTACTTTGAGTTCCACCGTCTGTAAAATGAATCAGGGTTTAATAGTTAGAGCCTGAGAATTTTCCTTTGCTTTGTAACTACACCTACTACTATTAGACCAAATGCGCTTCGTTCTCTTTGTTCCTTTTACTTTTTGGACTCTATTTTGTCGAACGTCAACAAAATTTAAGACAAACGATGGAAATGTTGGTGCGAAAAGATAAAAGTTATTTTAAAAAAAAAGGAGAAGAAGAAAAAAGAAAAAAAAGAAGAATGTATGGTCATCTCATTAACATTTTCCATTATATTGTGTTTCTCTTTTCGTATTCTAATTAACATGCATCTTTACAATAACATTGACTAGTAGAAAATCAAGTGAAATAATTATAGGTTGAACTGGCGAAAAGGTGGAGAAAATGAAACCTATTTTTGGTGTTGTTGAAAGTAATGTTGGATGTGCATGAACAAAGTTCCATATAGAAATAAAAAAAAATACTTATAAGAAGTTTGATACTCTTAATGGTGTTAGGCCTTTTAATTTGGAAAAAATCGTGCAAACTTGGTATAAAGCGGACAATATCACACAATATTAAGAATATGTTTGGACAAATTTTCCCTAACAAGTAAAAGAAAAGATGAAAGGAAGATAAAGAGCAATGGGATTGAAAGTGAAACCTGCAAAGAAAGTGGTCGACCCCTAGGCATGTTGTTGTAAATGCTTTTGTGGTTGTCTTGGTAATGAAGAAAGATGATGATAGTGAAAGAAAGAGTAATTTGTAAAGTGAAGTGAAAAGCGCAAAATAGTTTCTGAAACTAGGTATTCCTTTCTAGCTGAATAGGTTGCTTGAGTATATATATTGGCATATACAGGTATAAAAAAATGGCAATTTGTGTAGACGTATTCGTCGAAGAGAATTAAGGCATCTCTTGATTAGCACATCAATTAAGCAAACAAACGCTATGTACTTGTCTAAAAACTGGCAAGCCCTCCTCTTTTACTTTATTAAATATTTTCAGAGAATTTTACACAAGTAGCCGTATGATTTTACTATTTTATTTTTCCTAAACGGTATACATAGATTATATACCAATTATACACATATTATATATAAATTATACATATATTATACATTCGTCGATTATTTTTAATTTAAATAATTGAGTGAACTGCTATTTAGGTTAATTCTTCTATTTTCAAAGAAACTAGCATATTGTGGGCTTATTTAATATTTTTTATATATAATAGGAAAAATGATACTATATAACCGCTCTCAAAATAATAACTAAAAATGTATATTTTTTTTATATTTTTTATTTATATACATTCTGTATGTTATATACAAAAATTATATAAATTTAATACACTTTTTCGGCTACTGAATATATATAGTTTCTGGTGCGACTAAAAGCGAAAAAAGCCCTATAAAATACAGCAAAAAAGGGCTTATCTCAATGAATTAATTAAGAGCCCTTTTAGGAAGGGAATGGCATCTTTTTTGGGATTATATATTCCCTTCTTGATGTACTTATCCTTGATGATGTTGGTGTTTCATAAGTTAATTGGTTTGGTATACTTGATGTACTTAATCTTTCTTTTACTATTTCTAAGTCTTCTTCCATGTTAATTTCTTTATAACTATATTCATTATTATCAATAACTGTAACTATTCTTTCAAATGGATTTTCTATTTTTATTTTATATAATATGTGGTGAATGTATGCTTAAAGCATGGGTCAAACTGACACTGAAAAGTAAAAGGAATATGATCAGTTTTTTGTGGGGATGGGCCTAAGGATGCAAAGGAAAAAATAAAAAATAAATGGATGCTGAGACTGGAAAGTAAAAGGAATATCAGGTCTCGTGTGGAAGATGTATGGGCTTAAGGAAGTACAAAAGGTATTTGATACAAAGGAACATATATATTCCAAACATCTCCTTTTCGTTTTCTTGTCATTATCATGTTCTTTTTCAATCCTGGTACATGCCAATTGCCAAGCATGCACCATCAGAAAAATTAGGACTATATTCTAAATTCAAGACATATTAACTCAAAATAATATTATGAGCTAATGTAATGAGATTAATTATTTCAGTCAAATTTTATGAATTTGATTAAAGTTTAATGTTATTGTGTTAGTCCATGTGGTGCGCTTCAAATAATGAGTCCAATTTTTAAGCCTTGGATCCATGGTGGTGTGTTGCCTTATCCCAAGGGGTTGTGTGATACAAATAAGGGTTAGTTATTTCATCTTTTATATGAGATGGCTAATCTCATTATTTTATTGTAAAATTTATCTTGAATCAATTAATACCTATAATCAAACATGAGATAAATATAATTTCAATTTATATGCCAGTATTATTATTCTTATCTCTCGTAATAAATGACCCCTAAAGGTCCAAAATCATGTAATGTGTTAAGAGACGTGGCTTGCCAAGTTAAAGAAATGGACAATGGTATCATGTCACATGCTCAATAAAACATGTCAAGTCAAATCAAATTTTTAAAAAAAAATCAATATACAAATATGAATATGACAAGTGTATAATATTCTAGCCAATCAAATATGATATGTTTGCTGCTTCAAATGATGAGTCCAATTTTTAAGCTTTGAATAAATGGTGTGTTGTCTTATCCTAAGGGGTTGTGTGATACAAATACGGATATCCTATAAGATTAATTATTCCATCTTTTATATGGGATGACTAATCCCATCATTTTATTATAAAATTGGCCAAATATATCGACAGCCTCTTAAAGTTGTTCACACTTTTCAGATAGACACTCCATGTTAAGTTCGTTCAATTTCAATACTTCAACCACAACTCAAATATGTCATTTAGACACAAAATTTGAAGGCAGACAAACACAAAAAGTATGTGATATTCACATGTCAGACTCATGAATAAGACAAGGACACGTGGATTTAACTTAAACAAATTTGAAAAAAATTTGAAAAAAATAAATTAAAAGTAAAAAACGAGAACCCCACCCCACCATCGTCATCTTCCCCAAACGACCCCTTTTTGCCGGAAAAAAATTTATGGCCATTTCTTTCCAATGATGTCTTCTTCTCCAAATTGTTTTTTATTTTATTTTTTCCTTTTTCTTCACGCAAGAGCTTTCGCCTAAATTTATTTGAAACATCCAAATATGATTTTCTTCTTCTTTAGATTCACAAAGCTTAACTGGAATGTTTGGAGATGTAAATCTGATTTTTCTTCAAATCTAAGTCACAAAGTTTAATTTTGTTACTATTGAGAAAAAATAAAACTTTGCCGGAAAAAATGAAGTTTCGCCGGAAAATATTACCGTTCAAATTTTTCTTCTTCTAATTGTTAATCTGTTACTTTTGATAGATCCAAATGTTGACAAGAGAAGACAGAGGTAACAAGGTTTTTCTCTCTTCTTCGTGTTACTTTTGTATGGGTCAAAATCTGCCTAAAGGCATTCAACACGAGTGATGTTGCCATAAGTAATATGGACGAGGTCAACTAGTAACTAATAGGATTCGTTGCCGAGCAACCAATTATGGTCGAGGTCGAGTATTAGAGGGAGCAGTAACAGCAAGTTTAGTAGAGAATATTCTATTAAATATTCTTGATACTTGCACTTTTAGGGTTAATTGAGGGCCTGTCCCTATAAATAGAAAGAGATAAATCAGATGAGGGGTCTCGGACACAAACTTCCTGGACAAAGAACAGACTCTCTACATCTTAGATAGCAGATCCAAGAAAGGCTCCGAAATTCTTGTATCTATCTATCATTCATCATAGCCAAAAGAGGAACCATTTTCATCATATTCGAGATTGGGTGAATCATTCTCCTTATTTACTTTAGTGTCATTCAATGTAATTAAATCTTGAATATTCCTCTCCCATTATTGATATTCTTACATTGAATTCATATCTGAAGTTATTATTATTAGCTAGGCTTAACTCCTCATTAAATACATTCAATTAATTTAGCCAAAGAAAATTATTTTTTGGTTAAATAATTTGGCACCGTCTGTGGAGATTCTCCTAGTTAAAATTTTAGTTTCTTCCAGATCTGTAACTAAAAATAAAGTTCCAAAACCCCTGCTTTCTTGTAAGCACAGACCTAACATGGCAGGTAACGAGAAGAAAGGATGAAGGCAGTGGCCGATCTCACCACCAACCTCTTAAATACCATCAACGAAGTTTCTGAAATGGAGGGCGAAGATGTAACGCCCAATGCCTCTCCTAGGCGAAGTGGCTCACCCCTCCCCCATGGTAGCATCACAACATCCCACGGCAAAGAGGCTTCCACATCCACAACGGAAGAGGCGCCACCCGCAGTGAAGAAACTACTTGAGGCTTAGCTAACAAACATGCTGACTAGCGTCCTCTACAAACCTTCCCAAAAAGAAATCAGAGAAAATGCGAAGATATGCGTTGCGCCAATGACGGCGGAGCGGTACGTCCCAACTCACAATGTTAATAATGCAGGCAATGATACCCTCACGACCATTCTGAGAAAGATGAAAGAAATGGAAAGCGAAAACTATCACGACCCGAACCAATGGGCCGCGACGGGCACCCCGTACCTTACTCAACCGAGTACCAACATAACGTATCCTTCTTATTACTTCATCATATACACGTGACATACGGGCCTAATAGGCCAACATGATCATTTATAAACTCAAAACATAGGCCGACAAGGCCGTACAATTTTTTACGTACACTACATATGCCTACAAGCCTTTAAGAGTACATAATTGTCATAAAGGTCGGGACAGAGCCCTGCCATACCAAACCATACACATCTAAATCATACTGACCAAACAAGCAACTCCGGAGCAAATTGAGTGCGCTGATATCTTCTGCTGAGCTGATCGCCTACTTGGAGGACTCTCAACCTGTCTATCGAGACCTGCGGGCATGAAACGCAGCATCCCCAGGCAAAAGGGACGTCAGTACAAATAATGTACCGAGTATGTAAGGAATAAAAATCAGTAAATAATAGACATGAGAGAAACATGGAGTAAAACACTCGACATGTACGTCTGCATAGCTCTGTGAACCATTTCATTTTTATAATGTCATGCATATACGTATAAATGTCATACAATGTATAGGTATATGTGTTCATAACATCATCAAGCCTCTGAGGGCTTCCTATCATATCATTTCGGCCATTGTGGGCAAATCATCAATGTATACCAACTGATCAGGTGGTGGTACGTATATAACGCCATAACCTTTTCCCATATTCCATATACATATAATATATATATATATACGCGTATATAACGCAATCTGGTCATGGGTCAATGTATATGTATAAATACATGAAATGCATAAGAAATACGTTAATAATATTTTCTCGGAATGTCATAAAAATAATATGCCATAAGAAATACGTTAATAAGATTTTCTCGGAATGTCATAAAAATAATATTTCCTCTCATATAAATTTTATCAAATACGTATTTTTCTGAGACCCATGAACAGAAGATATAATAATAATTCACATGGGGAATCAAGAATATAGACACCCCTAATATTTCTATGAATAGAGTCATTTATAGAAATTGTGCATTTGCTCATTTAGTTCGTGTCGTATAGATCATGCCAAAAGGAAAGATGGGATAGCCTTAACATACCTGGAGTAGGAAAAAATCTGTACGATATTCTTGAGAAAGATTGCACTGTATTCCCTTAGAATTACAAAATCCCGTTGTTAATGTGCTAAGAAACCTCATTGATCGAAGAAATTATGTTGTAGTGTTTTGTAAGAATTTCTACGAATTTGT